CAAAGGTATTATTCATATGCACTCTTACTACCATGTAATCTTTTCTACTGTTTTCTGATGATAATTCTTAATTTTATTATTAAAAGAAATAGAGAATTATTGAATGCTTTATTTTATACATAAGAAATATTTTAAAAGCCTTTGAGACTTTTGACAAAAACAAACAAAAAACTAAACAATAGGAGAAAGAGGGCTCTTGAGGTCAAGTTACTTGCAGAAAAGATTGAATAAAATCAAATAAGATGATATTGGAAACATTTACCATTTATCACCTCGGGCTCTTAGAGTTCTTGCATGCTATTGAATCATTGACTTAGCAGCAGATAAGCTTCTGACATTTTACAAGACAGAAGTGAGACAACAGTAGGCAGCAACTGGAAATTATTCATTGTTACATTATTAAAATTTATTTTTCGTACAATCTCACATATTTAATGTTACAACAAATATTTGAAAATGGTATTTAACATTTATTTTAAATAAGTTCTCCATTTTGTTATCCATGATTAGTTATTTTAATTATTCATGGAAACTAACAAAATTAGCTAAATAAATTTCTCTATCTACTTTAGGAAAATCTTCTTAAAATTGTCATCAGAATGTGATTGTCTAATAATGAATTATACACTAACACAAAGTAAATGATATATATATTTGTTTTCAGGGCAAGCTGGAGAGAATTTGAGCATTTGGTAAAATGATTTGAGAAAATGTCTTTTTCTGTAAATGTATGAATATATACTCTAATAATTAATTTGATTTTATTTAGAAAATAATACAATTTATTTTCAAATATTATACTCCTCCATCTCAAAACTGTCACTGCTGAACGTGAATTTTGTGTCAAAATCTCAAATTCCTTGAGCAAGAGTGCATTTATACAAGACATATTGGTTAAACACTTTCTTTGTGTCAAGCATTGCTCTTAATGCTGAAAATACAATAGTGTATTATAAACAAAAAAAATGACACTTTTGTACTGATATTCTAAGAGTAGGCCAAATAATGTACTAAATGAAGAAAAAAATAAATAGTAGGTTAGATGACAATAAGTCTAGTAAAGAAATAAAACAAGGAAGCATAGTAAAAAATGTTGGCTGGCCTTGCTCTCTTAGTAGTCCAGAAAACACTTCTAGAATTTCAGCAGTTAAAACCTGAAGAAAAGCATTGACTAGTTTTGAGGAGTGAATGATATTATCTGCCAGGATTTAACAGGCTAGTTCTTGTTTTTATGCAGGGGATATATTGGAAGTGATAAAGACACAAGTAGGGGGAAGATTTAGGAGTGCTAGAAGTAGAAGGGGTGATATAGTTTGAAGCTAATGCCAAGAAGATGGATTGTATGTGAGGTGTGAGATTAAGAGACAAGTCATGATTTCTCAAGTGTTTGGCCTGAGCTACTTGAAGGATGTCGTTGTCACTTATTTGCTTAAGTAGCTCTGTGAAAGATGTTTGGGAGAAGATCAAGTGGTCAGTTTTAGAGATATTAAGTTTGAGATGCTGGTAAACATCCAGATAGCTCGATGGATTTAATCAGTATACACATATATAGATTTACACTCCAAGGAAAATAATAGGTTGCAGTATATATTTATGAGTCATCACTAGAAAGATTTTTTTTTAATTATGAGACTCAATAAAGTAAATTGTTGCAGAGGAGGAGAAGTCGTGATGACTGGGTACTTGAAAGTCCATATCTAGTAAGTCAGATGAAGAATCAGCAATAAAGAAAGGGAAAAGCCAATGAAGTTGGATGAAAATGTGTATATTATCCTGGAACTCAAATAACAAATGCTAGTTAAAGAGGAGGCAATTAACAGTAGAAAATGTTGTTGATATACCTAGTAAGATAAGGCATGAGAATAGACCTCTGTATTTAGCAAAGTATTTGCTGTGCCTCATTGGTGACCTCAGTAAGCTCAGATTTTGAGAAGTGATGAAAACAAGTGTCCAAATAAATTGAAATTAGGATACAGTGAGAAGAGGTCAATGAAAGCTGACAACATGAACACCTGAGGAAGGTAATGAGAGAAATTGGCAAAAACTAGAGAAGACAACAGAGGCAAGAGAAAGGTTTTTTTGTTTGTTTCTGTGTGTGTGTGTGTATCTGTGTGTGTGTGTGTGTGTGTGTGTGTGTGTGTGTGTAAGTAAAAGGAAATGTCAGCTATAGCTGATGGGGAGGAAGGCAGCAAACCACATTGCCATGTGTGCACCTTTGCATACATGTTCTTCACATGTGCCCCAAAACCTAAAACACAATAAATATATATATATATACATATAAAAGAACATGATAAATATATTCTCTTCCTCAAAATTTTTATCTGATACAATTTTGAGTCCACGCTTTGTCCATTTTAAATTTTGAGTGATAGACATAAAACAATGTTTCTGTTAGAACATATATTACTAAGATAATACATCCCATTTAAGATATTTGAAAAACATATCTATTTTAAGCATTATAACAAATTATGTCAAATAATAATTAAATATTAAGAAGTCAAGTTTCAATTCTGAGCCAGTTATCAAAAGGCTCAGCATTTATCATTGTTATATTTTCATGTACATTACTTTCTCCACATGATTATTAAAAATAAAATTATTTTGTCCATATTGTGGTCAAGGCACTATTCTAAGCATGTTACACATATTATCCCTACTTTACTCTACGTTTCCAAATTAAATTTTATCAACTTTATTGATACGATTTTATTAGCCCATATTCTAGATAGAGGTCTTGGGGATCAGCAAATCAGTGTCTTTCTTAATCCTTGAAAGATATAAACAATGTAACAGGGATTGAGTCCAGATATGCTTACTTCCAAAGTAGATAATATATAATTTGTACTGCTTTACAGCATAGTAAGCATTGAAAGACAGTAACTAACTTATAAGCAATATATCTTTTTTACACTGGGTAAAGCCAGATACAGTGAAGGGCACTTAATATGATCTTACTATAAAGTTGTTAATTTGTCTAAGAAAAATAACATCGGGAACAATAATTTTAAAAAATCAGTCTTTTTATGTTTACAAATGCAAAATGTTAGAAACCCCTAATCAAAAAAATAAAATAAAATTTAATCTAAAAGACTTTTTTCTCTTAAGTGTCTCAGTACTATTATGAAACAGTTTATCAATTTACAAAACTAAAACCAAGATCCAGTTCTATGTAGAAGTCAAAAATTAGAATGAAGTAAATTGCACATTAAGTAGGGTTGATTGTGCAATAAAGGATAATGGCAAACCAGTGTTAATCCCCTATGTAGCCTGCTAAGTTTCTATAAAGATCTGCCACTTGAGATGCAAATGCCAGAACTATCACAGTTTATACAAAATTATTTCTCTAAATAATGAATGTGTAAATTTCATTTATTCTAGATGTTTAGGTTTTTTTTGCAATGTAATTAACGCCCAAAAATGTAAAAATCCTTGTCTTACCTTCAACTAAAATCTCAATAATAAAAAATTATCTTGTATGAGGCAAATAACTAGGAATTTGTTACTTTTCCATTACTTTAAGGTGGATTGCCTGTCAGGGTCTGGACACATGTCAGAAAGGACACAATAACTAGTGTCATTTTAGAATCCTAGTCTGGAAATCCTTGATTTATTTGGTTTTCATTCCATTTGTTGCATTGTGTCCTTGGATTTAACTGTGTTTTTCTTGTAAGTTTTGTGTTTTTCGTAGTGGGGTATTACAAACGTTAGCAACATCTGAAGGGTACTTTAAAAAAAAAAAAAAACTTTTTCTTATTCCTGTATGATATTAAAAAAAAAAAAAACAAAAACTTTACCTTGATACTAAAAGTAAATTAAACCAGTTCTGAAATTAATATATCAAAATTATATTTTATATAATAAATGCTCATTGCTTACATATGGCCTCCGTAGAACTATGGAAAAAGCATGTAATTTAAAACTGCATAGAAATGGTTTTGGATCTTTAAGTGCCATTCACAACCTGTATGAACTTATAAAAGGTCTTAATCTTTCTTTTAACTCTATAAATTAAAATTGATATAACTCAATTTATAAACTGCTCATAGTGTTATAATTACTGAATAATAAATTATATATTATTTACTTGGCAATTATTAACAAAAAGACTAAACAATTTCTTCTCTTTTTCGTTTTCCTAAAGACCTAGCTAGAGCAAGCTTAAATGGAATAAATGATTGCATTTTATTTTTAGAACAAAGTAACAAAAATGTATTCAAAATTTTTGTAAAACAAGATCAAGCTCTATTTTATTACCTATACAAATATGTCTTTCTCACATTAAGTTAAATTAATAGTGCTTTTCAAACTTATTAAAAACTGAAAATGCTTAGAGTATTATTTATGCATATGTTATCTAATATATAAACATATATTCATAATTTAGTTTTCTAACCTAAGAATATATTTTCTCATTCTTTAGTACAACATCTATGAATATGGATTTGGATTATTTTCATGAACTTAAATGGTATTTTTGAAGGAAGTAAACTTTCATAAAAAGTGAGGTGGTCACTTTTTAAAAAATTTCATTTAAAACAATTAATTCAAAATAATGTTTAAATGATTAATTTTTTCACATATATCACTTCTAACAACTGCTGTGACTTTGGCTTACTATTTTCTATAGAAATTAATCAAACTCTATGATAATTTGTATATAAAATGAACTACACAAAGACAAAAACCTAGAGACATTTTTCATGTATGAAAAAAGGTTAAGCATTTGTAATTTTCCCCGTGGACAATGGTCAATGACGACATACTATTGACATATCAATGACAATATTGCATTGTTATCTATGATATAATTAATTTGAGTGTGTGAAATGCATTGAACATCTATTAAAACAATGCATAAAGTATGCATCCTGTTTATCACCAAATTAAGGTTAAAAGTCAGGGATGTTTTTAGAACAGGCATGTTAGGATTTAATCAAACAATCAATAATATTTGGGATATAGAAGAAACAAAAAAACGCATTTTTAAAACTCACCTTATCCAGAATACATATCTGTTTCTTTGTTTGAGCATCAAGTATTTCAATCTCAAAGTGAATTTTCTTTGAATGTTTGACTGCTGGAGTTGGTTTTAGAGGGCCCGCTGAGAGTACAAGTCTTGACAAAAAGTGAAAATTTCTCATATCATTCCTCAGTATGAACTGTGTAGCTCCTTGGGAAAATAATTCTTTCTTGCGTTCTGAAGTGAGGGACTTCTGTCTTCTGAACATTTTGTGAACTAACAGGAGGATCTGTCATGTCAAAAGTAGACAATTGCAAGTGTGTTCCTTTTGCACCAGTTAAATACTGCTGGAGAACCTTCGAAAGGTCAAATGGTATGCCATTCCAAGAGTTCAGTTTAATTTAGCAGGCTTGAAAGCAATGACTGATCTTATTTCTATATATAACACCCTATTATGATTTGCTGTGTAAAGTATTACTTTACCAGCAATTGAATTATTCTTTGCTTTCTCCTTTTATCTCTGCTTTGTAATATGACTACTCTTATCTGAAATTCCAAAGCAAGAATAGACAGAGCATTTTCATTATCTCTGAATTCTGGATGCACTAACCTTCAAAACCACACACACACATTCGCATTGAGATGTATTTAACATTAGCAAAGTGCTATCTTAAAGTTAAATTTTTTAAAGTCCTAGTACATTACTATATAACATTTAAAAAATGTTGCCTAAGGTAAAGATAAGTGGCACATGTATGTTTATATATGTTTTATATAGAAATATTTTATATGAGCATGTGCACGTAAAGAATTCTAAAATGAAAAATTTATTTTTATCAATACTAATAAACCTCAACTAACTTAAAATAACTGTTACACAATATAAAATGGTGAATTATTCACTGTATATAAAGAATGAAAAGATAGCAAACTATGAGATTATAATTTGTAGAGAACAGTTTTGTAACCTAGGGAAAAGAAGTAAACATTATTTTAACATTGTATATCTTTGGAAAACTATTGAATTGATATATAAAATCAGTGGTAAGCATCACATTTTCCACAACACTATGTTACGGAAAATGCAGATAGATAGCCTCAGAATGAACAATGACATATGACAAACATTGTGGCAAAGAGCTTTTAGAAAGACTCCTAGTCTTCTGAGACATGTAAATGTGGTGAAGACAAAACTGAAAAAAAAAATTGAAATATATCATCACTGATTCAAAATTATACTGACGGAAAATATTCTGGAATGTAGTTTTCAATGAAAACATGAAAAGAAAAATGACAAAAAGCATAGAGGAAGAAACCTGTTATCTACCTAAGGCTAATCTTTATAAACAACTAAAATAATGTATTCATTTATAATTTTATTACATATTATGCCCTAGAGATTCACTTTATACTGTTATTATATTCACACTTAATATTTTATATATTACATTGCATTCACTATTTTATATTTCAAAAATATAAAATAGTGATGTGTGTGTTTTTACACACATATGCAGACACACATTGTGCAACTTTATCATCTAGTTGTTCAAACTTGGAATCATCTTTAATTTCTCAGTTGCTCCCAAACGTCACATCTAGTCCACCAGAGATCCGCGACATTATCTGTTCACCATCCCCACAGTTACAATCCAAGCATGAATCTCACCCGAATTTCATATCCAAACGGCTCTTCCTATCCCAACACTAGTCAATCAATAGCTTATTTTTAACACAGCAGCTAGAGTGACCTGGATCTATGTAAAGTAAGTAACTTAATCTGTTTAACACACTGAAAGGGCTTTCTAATTTTTGGGGAAAAAAAGCCAAAGATTTTTGCAAAGGTTTGCAAGGTTCTGCATCACCCAGAACCCTATGACATCTCTGACCTCATCCCCTAAACTATTTACAGCACTTAGAACAGTTTCCAACATAGAGTAGGTGATCAGTAAACATGTATTAAATTAATTAATGACCAAAAAGTGTATTTGAATTTGTAGGCAGAATGATGTAGTGATAAGTTACTGCATTATAGTGAAATAACCTAAACATGATTCATATAATATTTCTCCAGATATACTTTTTATTTAAAAAAAAAAAAAAAAAAAAAGAATAGTTGACCAGGCGCAGTGGTTCACGCCTGTAATCCCAGCATTTTGGGAAGTCAAGGTGGGCAGATCATGAGATCAGGAGTCAAGACAAACGTGGCCAACATAGTGAAACCCTGTCTCTACTAAAAATACAAAAATTAGCCAGGCGTGGTGGCAGGTGCCTGTAGTCTCAGCTATTCGGAAGACTGAGGCAGGAAAATTGTTTGAACTTGGGAGGCAGAGGTTGCAGTGAGCTGAGATTGTGCCACTGCACTCTAGCCTGGACGATAAATCTAGACTCCGTGTCAAAAAAAAAAAAAGAGAGAGAGAGAGAAAGAAATAGTCAAAATAATATGGAAGCCAATCTGAATTCTCATAGCCAGAGTTTGAACAATTCAAGCAACATAACAAGTACTAATAATAATGAGTCTAAATTTAAAAAGCAATATACCTAGGAGTTCATACCTGTATAAATAAATGATTAAATAAAAAATAAATGAATAAACAAGAATCAGGAAGAAGTTTTCCTTACACAAGACTTCCAAATATTTTTTTATATACTGTCTCTTTGAGTGTGAGTTTCAATTAGTGAAACATTTACAAAAAATAATGAATGAAAAGGGAAAAACAGACACTCCTTATAGAGGAGAAATCCAGAAAGTAGATATCAGCTTAACCACCTGACTAAGTCTACTATCACTGTGTAAAGTCATGCTGCTATTCACGTACCCATTATGTCATGAAAGGAGAAGAATGCTTTACTCTTGTAATATTCTTCCAAAGCTCATTATCTCAAGCCAGCTATAAGAACACATCAAGGACAAATTGTGGGCATTCTACAAAATACCTGACCAATACTATTCAAAAGTGTCAACAGGATAAAAAATTCAGAAAAATTGAGAAAAAATGAGACTGTGACAGATCAGAAAAGCCTACACGAGGACACTACTCAAACATGTGCGATCCAGCATTATTTTCTGGAACCAAAAAAAAATGTTAGTGGGAAAATATGTTGAAATAAATATAACATCTGTAGTTTAATGAACTGTATTGTACCAATGTTAATTCTGAATTATGGTAAATATACTACGGTTATGCAACATGTTAAAATTAGGAGAAATTGAGTGATGAATATACAAATATTTCCACTTTTTTCTCAGGTCTGGTAAAATCATTCCAAAGTAATCTACCCACCAAAATAATAACTAAAAATGTAGAACTAGACAAAAAGTTCAGGGGTGGGGAGCAAGTATCACTTTAAAGATGAAAATTGCATCTCTTCATGTAAGTTAAAAATGTTGCAGGGAGTACAAAATTTCAGATATTATGCTACTTATTATTTTATTATGTATATACATGAAGTAGTTTTAAAAGCAAAATATTATTATTTGCCAAGGTGTTTTACAAGGTTTTTTCTAAGTATATCACAATGAAAATAACACTGAATTAGTACTCATTTTTTACTAAACAATGGCTATTATTTGGTAAACTATACTGCAATTTAAAATATATTTAAAATTTAAAAATAATAAAAATAGACAGCCATAAGATGGAATATTTATTCCAGTTGCATTTAGTTATTAAAAATATTAAATAGAAACATTATATTATTTTTCTTACCTTCATATCTTTTACATTTTTTGACAAAAAGCATTCCATTTCAGTTTATTTTTCATTTGAGGTGTTATTTCTTTTCAGTTCATTTTCAAATTCATAACAGGCTTACAGTAGTTTTAATTTACACAAAAAAATTGAGCATAAGGTACAGGTTTTCCTTATAATCTCTTGCATATCCCCATCAATTTTCTTTATTACTATTTAACATATTTCACAGTGTAGTACAATTTTTGCAGTTGAAGAATCATGTTGATTTATTATTATTAACTAATTTCAATAGGTTATTTTAGGTTTCCCCCTTTGTGTTTCACTGTTCTATGGGTCTTGATAAATGCATAATGACAATATTATACAGAATAGTTTCCATGACCTAAAATATTCTAAGCACCAAGTATTCATCCCTCCTTAGTCCCTGCAAGCTCTGGAAATCACTGATGATATTACTATCTTCATAGTTTTACCTTTCCCATAATGTCAGAAGGTGGAATTATATAGTATGTAATGTTTTCAGACTGGCTTCTCTCACTTAGCAATTTGCCTTTAAACTTCCTCCATGTTCTTCCATAGCTTGACAGCGCATTAATTATTTTAATTGCTGAAAAATACCTAGTTGTATGGATGTACCATATTTTGTTTGCCCTTCCTATTGAAGGAATCCTTGGTTGTTGCTGTGAGCATTTGTGTGCAAGTTTTTATGTGAATATAATTTTAAATTTATTTTGTAAATAGCTATGAGTATAATTGCTGTATTGAATGGTAAGCTTATGGTTAGCTTTATAAGAAACTGCCGGAATGTTTTTTAAAGTGGTTGTATCATTTTGCGTTCCCACCAGCAATGAATGAGAGTTGCTGTCACTCCATATCCTCTTCATCATTTGGTATTGCCAGTGTTTTGGGTTTTAGCATTCTAATGGATGTTTTGTGGCATTTCTTTGTCTTAATTATTTCAAAATGACAGGAGATATTGAATATATTTTAATATGTGTATTTGATATCTGTATATCTGTTTTTATGAGGTGTTTGTTCAGATCTTTTGTTTACTTTGTAATTAAGTCATTTACTTATTTTTGAGTTTTGAGTGTTCTTATTATATTATTTCATCAGATATATGGGTTAAAAATACAAATGTCTAGTCTGTGGCTTATCTTGGAGGACCTCATGATAAAAATTGTGTTTTTAATATGTGCTAAATGCTATTCAAATTTCTGTTTGAAGACACTGAATCTGGGGAGGGGCAGGTGAAAGATTTTTTTCGGACTCTGAAGTCAAACCACTTTCTATTCCAATAAAAAGAACTGGAATTCAGGAAGTTATGAAATGAGTAGATTTTCAAAATACTGTATCCAGATACATTATTCTTGGATGCAGGCAAACACATAGGTAAGAAAGATACATATAGAAAAATAGCATTCTTTACTGGAAATTGTATGAATTCAAATTGATTGTTCTAATTAAAGAGTTACATGATCTCAAGGTTTCTACTATCTGTCACATTTTTATAACATTATAAATCTTATAGTAATTTTATAAAATCTAATAAGGAAATTCATATAAAGTAAAAAAAAATTTTAAAAACAGAAGACTTTATATATACATAAACATATATATATATATGTTTTTCAAATCAGATTATGTGTCTTTCATCACTCAGTCACCCTGCTCGAACATTAAATTATTCCTATGCTCTCACTTTCTAAACTTAAATTGTTATAATACATGTTTACAGGGGGAATAAAAGTTATTTACAATGAGTATTCTAT